TTTTTTTTTCTCTTTTTGCAGAAATCAATTCTTGCCGCCGCAAAGGCACGCTATATATATCTAACTCATAGATGTCTTTTCTCATTACGGATCCTTTGGCCTCAAGGCAATTTTTCTTTGCTTCAAAAAAGATCATAATTTATTGCAACTTCGAAGTTGAAACATGATACATTTTGTAATTAATTTTTAATTTATGATTCTATTAACCTTTAAGTAGATAGATATATCCTCAGACAAGCAATTTTTATCTTTATAGTTATACTTTTTAATAATATATATATATATATAGTTAAAAAATATGATTAATAAATTAAAAAACAAAACTCAGAAATTTAAATACAGATTTTTAAATCGTACAATTATATTTTATTTAACTGACTTTTTGTAATGTTGCGAACATGAAGAAAATGGGTATAAGCTCTTTTATTTATTAGAATATATTTTAGATTCTAAATTTCGCAGTTTCTCACACATAAATAAAAAACGCCGTGTTTAAACTGTATTAACGTGTGTTAATTGATTAATTAAGTTAAATTTACGCAAATAACATTTGCACAGCGTTTGAATGATTTGGGTTACACTTAAAATAATAGGAAATGTAATTATATATTTTATGAATATCCAGGAAACCGAATATTGACAGCTACTGTTTAAATTAGAATCATTTAGATTAAATTAGATAGAATAATTATATTATTTAGAGACAATACAATTGAGTTTTAACTGGGTTAACGAGGCAGTCGGATAGCTAAACTTTTATAAAATAAAAATTTTATGATACAAGCATGGCAAACATATTATAGGGGAGAGTGGTCTAAATCGAATCGTGTTCCAAATAAGACTTTTTTAATTTAAATGAACACGGTTAAACAGATTTGTGTATTACTTATAATGTAAAGTCCTTATAAGACACCGAACATGTGACAGCAATTTGACAGTTCTCTGTCATAACATTCATAGAATAAACACAAATATGTATTTTCAGCTATTGTGTGAAAATTTTTTTTAAGAAGGAAATCCTTGTAAATCATTATTTAAAAGGTGTTAAAAATTTGAAAGGTAATTGATTTAAGATAATTAAAGAGTATAGAATTCAAAAATATCCATTTTGTGGTCACTTTTGCGGTTTATTGTAAAATTTGTCCCAAAGTTCGAAAGGACTCGTGTCCAAATCGGATAGTACGATAGATAACTTATAGTTCTGGTTGTAGTACTGATAATCAGCCGACCAGATCTGGTCCAAGAAATTAAATCAATAAAATATCATGAGTCATCAGACTCAGATTAATGAGTTTTATTGATTTCAATTCTAATAATATAAACTGTCAGTAATTTTCTTTTCTGAATAAAATTTTTATCTTTGACTATCAAATCGCTCGTTTTTACTCAATACTAACAAAAATACATTAAAATATTTTAAAATTCTACCTAAAAGTCCATAAAAATAGGAGCGTTCGATTTGAACCAAAGAATAGAACTATTGTTTCCAAATCGGACCAGAAAAAGCGTTTTTACATTTTCCATTATAGTTCAACACAGATTCGACACACGTTAAAATGATCTTAAGTAAAAATGAGGGGAATTAAATGATCTTTCCAATGGAAACTTCGGTTTTACGATCGGACTTTATTTACGCCTTATAAAGAGCAAAAACTGCAAATATAGGTCCGATTTAAACCACTCTCCCCCATATCATATTTAGCTACAGACAATTTTATCTTTACAAAATTTTTTTTTTTTTTTCGAAAAATTCGAGATACTATAATAATAAGTTTTTAATATACAATCGGAGATTGATCCAAATCTGAAAATAGTTGATAAATGTATATATAATATCTGATTTTTTTGTGCTTTCTCCCCATTGTCAGAATGCTGCATAAAAAAAAGAAAAGCAAGAAACATAGAACACTGTTTAAATAAGAAGATAACACAATTTATTTTTATTAGTGTTTTACATTGAGTGTGTTGTTATAAAGCGAGGTTCGATCTTTTTAAAATCCTTCTATTCAACAACTGATGTGTACTGAAGAATGAGCTGATAACAATAGCGACGATGAAAGCTATGAACATCTCTTGCGCCGAGCTTCGCGATGAAGCGGCGCAGGAAACGAGAGGGAGGACAGATTCGCGCGGACAGTATTTGCATTCTAACGCGTACACGCGTGCGCGCACATCTGTGTGCGTGTAGGTTAGATTTACATATTTGTTTCGGCATAATGAATTCCATGCATGGTCAGCTGCTAACCACGCAAAAGTTATTACGGGTACACAGATTACAGGTCGCGTCCGCGTGCGACTTGCCGCTCGGACAAAATCGACCGGCAACAACGCGCTCTTGTTTTTATTAATTTGGTTTGCAAAAATGTTTAATATTCCCCAGAGTTGTATTTAATCGTTCGGAAATGTCGTTATTTAATTTGGAGATTTTTGCTCACGGTAGAAGTTTATCCAATTAAAATTTTGCTCTATGTATTTGCGCGGATAGTTCTCTGGAGAAAGGGAAAAAAGAGAGTTACTTGAGAAAGTTCGTAGCTATGCAATTACGCGCGATACGATCCGCCAATATATTACATATTTTTCAAATGTTTGCGAATATTCCTAGAAATCACGCGATTCTCTTTCCTGTTTAATTTTTTTTATAAATTTCAATCATTTATTTTTTGCAGTTCTCTCATATGTCAAACATACATAGAATGGTTTATTTAAAAGGATTCACTCGATCGCTTCCATTACTGAAAGTTTTATGCTGAATGTGTTTTTCGCATAGAAATTTACTCCATTATAAAAAAAAATCTATAAACCAATTTTGTAAAGATATTTTTAAAACTATTTTAAAATCAGAAAATGAATATTTAAATAAAGCTATGTGTTTTTATAGGAACGTATTAATGAGACTTTTCATACTTTTCTGAGCTCGCTTATAACTTACAGGCAAATATCGGTTATTGTTACAAGCTATTGGTTAAATTATTACTTTATATATATAATATATTTAATTAAATAATTATTCAAGTTATTATATATTATTTGCTTAAAAAATATTTTTAGCATACTGTTAAACGCGCTGATTTGCTATAGGTATTATTCTTTTTTAATTACCATGTTTATTTTATGTAAATTTCGAGAATTTATATTAAGTTCACGTGTTAAAAATTTTAAAATATTTTATAAATAAATAACACAGTTTACATGAAATAAAATAATAAAAATAACAAAGAACTTGTATGTTAAAAATAATATATTTAGCATAAAATGATTGGAAAATTGATATTTTTCATGCCAGTTTATTTATTATATTTAGCCTGCAAGATATAATTGACCTTTTAAATTTTTTTAACAGGTATCTCTATGCATAAGGGTTATGCATTCGTGCAATTCACAAATCCGTTTGACGCACGTAGTGCGTGCCTCGGTGAAGATGGTCGCACCGTCCTCAGCCAGATTCTCGGTGAGTAAACTTTTCTTTTGCCATATTATTTAGAGACTCGTTTAAAGAGATACACAAAAGAAGGTTGGACGTGCTAGCAAATCAAGTCTCGTTGAAAAATGTTTTACATAGCCTGCAACGTTGTAAAAGATATTACGCATTCTATAATTATACCATGTTCTATACTTGTATCGTGCATTTCGTAATATTTATACCGTACGAAGTAGAAGAGTATTATGAGTATAATGACATTTTTATAAAAAGCAGATTGCTTATTCATAGAAAATTTCTAAGCAATAGGATTATAGCGATGAAAGCCTTTTTTTATTATATCGACATATATTGACACATTGTAAAACAATAAAGAAACACAACGATGGAAAAAGGGCTTCGCATTAATATGCAACGACGCATAACGCTGGCGATATAGGGAATCGCTTTGACGTGATCATTTATTCAACACTTGGAAGAAAGTGTATCACTCTTAGCGTTTAGCGGTGCGAAATAGACATCGAGCATATTCTATAAGACATATTTATGACTTGCATAAAAATATAAAAAGCATCGCAAGCCTGCGATAGATATTGAAAGTGCAATATGGAAAATATTGTAGAAACGTAAATTTTTCAGATAATATTCTATCGGCTTTTTTAATGAAATTATCTTTCCTCATTTGCGGGAGGGATAAAAATGTTGCATTATTGTACCTACATGCACAATATATCGAAATAATTTGATAACATAATTAATCGAAATTTTGTTTACATAATTTTCCATTCGCAAATACTTTTAATTCGATAAAGCGAATTCAAAATGCAGCAGCTGTCGAATGTTAAGTAAAATTATTAGGAAAATTATGGACTTCGAGGATCTACGTTACATCGTATCAAAGGAGAGGTATCTCGTGGAATGATTTATAAACTCGTTGTATCGGAGAGGAATAGAGCGGTTTGCTTAGTGAAAAGTCACTCACGTGGACGTAAATTATGGGAATCGCGTGTATTTCTCTTGCGTCTGACAACCTAATCCGGCATAGCTGACGTGGGTAAATGCCGGTCCTTAAGATATTAAATTAGAAACACCGCATTCGCATTAGGACGCGTGGAAACTGCGGAAACCTTTCTGTAGCCGGCCGTAAGGATATATCCCGCCGATCGTTTGGTTATGACATACGGCATAGACCATCTTACAAAGACAGGGCTCCTGAATAAACCGTACACGTGAAATAAGCAAACAGCGACGATGGGATTGAAATCCGGGACTTAACTCTGAGTGGAGCAGCACACGTGCGGCTACCATGAAGCATCATAAGCCAGATAAAGCAGATTGCATGTCTTTGTCGTAATAGCATTATGTAAATATATAACAATATTAATTAGCGTATATCGTTAGTAATAAAACTTAATTTTTTACGAAATTAAGTTTTATTACTAAAAATTTATCCTACACTAAAAGAACAGTTTTGCTGAAATATCTAAAATTTTTAGTGAGATACAGATCTGAAAATAATTTTGTTGGACTATCAAAATAATTAGGACACTTAAGCTAGTTGCTAGAATATCAAAATTCTTTGCAGCATTGCTTGAGTTTTCTAATTATATGCATCATCATGTTTGAGTTTTCTAATTATTTTAATGATTTCTGATAAAATTCTAACAAAATAATCTAACATAGTCATTTTTAAATCTGTGTATCTATAAATTTTTTAATATTTCAACAAATATGTTCTCTCCATGTAATTATGTAGTATTGCCCACGTTCGACATAGAAACGCGAATCTGATCGAGCTACTCGATCTCTAAAGCAGAGATACGAATAAGTCGTTTAAACCATTTCTTTGATTTATACGAATGGCAAAAGAATTATTCAAATAATCTATACATTTTTTCTTTAATATATTGATATTCTCGACATTGCATCGTGTTATCAGAGGAGGATGTTAAGTTAGAACTGTTTTTCGGCTGAAATGAAAAAGTTCTAAGATATACGAGTTATATATATTACCTATTAAAGGACTGTCATATTAAAGCGAAATCAAGTGTATAACTTATCTTGGGGAAACATCGAGAAGAACATGGGAGAAATCATAGTTTCTTTATTATTTTATCATGATATAAAAATCAATAAATCTAATACCTACTGTCACATTTATTGATAAAAAGTTATTAGTAAAGACATGCCGGGAATTAAGCAACACAAACACTACATTATTATTTACACGTATAATTTGAAGATTTTCAAATGATTGAAGAATTTGATAAATAATTGATTGGTTTCGAATTCTAGCTTTGAATACATTTATTTAGTTCTATCTATTTACTCAATTTTTTTTATTATAACAGTGCTGTTTCTGTTTTTTTAATTTCAAAGATATCTTGACATCTTACTTAACAACTTTTAGATTTTTTGCTTTAATTTATATATATTACATATTATAATGATTTCTTCCACGTTCCCCTGATGTTTCTCCAAGATAAATGATACACCACTCGACTCCGTTTAAGTAGCGCTAATATGATACATCATTTGTACACCCAAGAACTTTTTATTTTAACCAAAAAACCCCCTAATTTAACATTCTCCTTTGTATAATTGGATAACAGATACATAAGCAGACGTGAAAATTTATTAGGCTTCTTTGGAATATATTTATATTATATATATTTATATTATATATATACGGAAATTTTGGGAAATAATTTAGGAATCAGAGTGCAAGAGATATAGCGTGTATTGGGCGCATGTGCATAATTTTATTTTATATGTGTTTATATATCTTTTATATATCTTACGTTTTACTACACCAATTTATTTCGCAATAGATAAGTATATCATAGATATATACAGATATTTTATACGGAGTTTATAACGTGAAAGGACTGTGATCCTTATGGAGCTTGTAGAGCTCTGAAATATTCGTACGTTTATTTGTCATCTATATGAAAAACGTTCATGAGATTTTCGAACATGCCCATGGGACATGTGAGATTGTTGAGGCGTATCCTATACATCCCTCGTATAATCCATGTCCTTCATGTCGTACATGTGCCACGTATGCTACCTCTCGAGTATCGAATGCGCGTATCAGCATCGAATTTTTCAGAGTATTCTTTCTACCTCGTCATACAATCTTTTTCGGCCGTCTCTCACACTAGCTGCTTCTTTATGCGAGTATTTCTCACAGACTCATGTCGGCAACACACTTCAACCCGTTCAACCGAGTAGAGAGTTACCTTCCGCAATCTGTTAATTACACGCATGTGATGTACAGAAATTAAATTAGACGAATATGTTGTACGTTGTATCTTACGCGAAATGAGAAACACGATCCATTCGAGATGAATATGAATTCCCGTAGAACATTTTGAACATCAAATCTAGGAAATTAATGATCTTTTAAAATTTATCGAATTTCTGCAGTTTGTAAATTACGTTCCAGATTCGAGCGCAGTTGGCCCTTTTTTTGCTTTTGCCCAAATATTTCTCTCCGTTTCCGCATTATAGAGCGTGCAGGAGCTGTCCACCCTCCTATTTCTAACCCGCTTTCCTCCCCTCCTCACCCCTGCGGCAAGTCGCACTTGTAAATGCACGCCATCGTCCGCGCGCTCGCGTCCGCCAACGTGTGTACGTGCTTGTCCGCCCCGGAGGTAGGCGAAGCATCGGGCGAACCGCCGGAAACACAGTTCTTGCATTAGCCGAAGAAAGATTTCTGGGGTAATCGTGGCGGAGAAACTGCCATCCCGGGAAAGAGCGAGCGAGGGTGGGTGGGAGGACAGAGAGAGAGAGAGAGAGAGAGAGAGAGAGAGAGAGAGAGAGAAAGAGAAAACGAAGAAAGAAAGGACGCGCGTGCGCGCTTGTCGTTCTTATTGGCGCGGGTTAGACCTACAGGGACAGGGGTGGCAGACGGGAGGATGGTTAGCGACGGCTAATTCCATTGGGTGTGCGAACGAACGGAGTAAAAGAGTTCCCACGCGATAAGCTTTAACCCTTTGACGCTGCTTGTATCTCCCAAAAAGCGAATCGATCTTTTCTACTGGGTGATACGAAAAAGACGAAAAACGCCCAATGATACCCTCGAGTACTCTAAAGAAAAAAAAAAAACATCCCCCGAGAGAGATTGGACGTAAGCGAGCCTTTCGATTTCGGGTAATTTACTGCTTTGTCACTACACGTACTTTCTAAGACAACAAGAGTAACGAAATTAGACAATATTGTCTTATACTTCAATGAAAATGGACGAACAAGATTCTGGTGATCAATCAGACTTTTGATTATCTTAGCAACTAGAATTATTCAACCAAAAAGTTCTGATTTGTCCATTTCTAACTAAAACTCCAGTTAATGCAACCAGACTTTTTCCAGTATATTAAAAATTAAAAATTATAAATACTTTTTATTTTTATTAAAAATTACAAAATCTCCAACGCGGATTTTATGTTGTATCAAATTTTTATTCTGATACGCATCTCTTCCTATATTTCATATTTTTCAGAATATGTATAGCTTAATTTTCGCGAATGTCGCGTATTTGTAGAGTTGTGCAAAAATGCACTCAATTTTTTTTTCAATTCCGGAAGTTCTGGAAAACTCAGATGAATATTAATTGTGATATTCACTTCGCGAACGTCATCAACGTTTAACGTCGACTATCCGGAAGACGAGGGTCACATGACGAGAGTAATGCACGGCATATGCAAATACCGTGTGGACGATGATTTATTATACTAATCTCGTTACGAATTAATGTGCTGATTTATGATGGCACGGTCCTTTTTCACTCTTCGCAAGGTGTCCTGGCGACGCCGCATGAAAACGTGGCATAAGTCATCCCCGTCATACGGATTTTTTCAAAGCCAACCCCCCCCCCCCCCGCTGCGTCCCCAAAATATCCGTAAATCTAACACATTCGTATATTAAAATTTCCAGAAATTCCTATATTTTTTCGCAATTTCTTGTTGTGGCAGCAGTCTTTAATTAAGCAGATGAAAATCAAATAGCGTGATGCATTATGATTATAAAAT